TATTCAGCTACGCTATTCACGTAGCTGAATTTGCGTATCTTAAATCGACTCCCCGCTGTAGTGTAGATGTACCCTCACAACACTCCTGCTAATCCATCCCAGAATGATGTTCACTTTTTTTCAACAGTGTTACATTCTCGACTCATTAAGTTTGTGATCCACTATAACCCCAGTTCCTTTTCTGCAATACTCCTTCCTAAGCAATCATTTCCCATTTTGTACTGGTGTAACTGATTATGCTTTCCTGAGTGTAATACTCTGCATCTTAGGCCATTTCTACACTTACAAGCTTACAGGGGCACAGCTATACAGATACAGCTGTGCCGCTGTAAGAGTGGTCGTTTTGCCGCATTATGCCGACAGGCGAGAGCTCTCTCATTGACATAATAAAACCAGCTCAATGAGCGGTGGTAGCTATGTCAACAGGAGAGCACTTTTGCCTGCAAAACTTATGGCACTCAGGGTGGGGGGAAGGTTCACACCCCGAGCAACAAAAGTTTTCCTGACATAAGCGCTAGTGTAGATACAGCCTTAGAGAAACAAGGTGGGTGAGGTAATATCTTTTATTGGACCCACTTTTATTGGTGAGAGAGACAAGCTTTTGAGCCACACAGAGCTCTTCTTCAGGTCTGGGAAAGGAACTCCCAGCAAAACGTGAGATGGAACAGATTGTTTAGCATGAGTAGTTAGCACATATTGTAAGGTACCATTCAAAAAACCATTGTAGAGTGACCAATTAACAACTCTGCAGTCATAGGACAAAGAGAGGGAGTTAGTGGGTTACAGATTGTTGCAACAAGCCATAAATCCAGTGTCTCTGTTCAGTCCATGATTTTTGGTGTCTAGCAGAGCAATGAATTTAAGCTCCCAGGCTCATCTTTGGAAAGCATTGTGCAAGGTTTCCTTTGAGGATGAGGACTGATAGGTCAAATCAGTCCTTATTAAATTTCATCCTATTTATTTCAGACCATATCTCCAGTTTGTCAAGATCATTTTGAATTCTAATCCTGTTCTCCAAAGGGTTTGCCTCCCCTTCCAGCTTAGTGTTGTCCACAAACTTTATAAGAGTATTTTCTATGCCATTATCCAAGTCATTTATGAAGATATTGAATAAAACTGTATACAGGACAGATCTCTGCAGAACCCCACTCAATATGAACATCCAGCTTGACTACTCTCAGAGTATGGTTTTCCAATTGGTTGTGCACCCAAGGTTTGCGTAGGCTATATTCCCTACTTTGCTTATGAGAAGATCATGTGGGACGGTATCAAAAACCTTACTAAAGTTGAGATGTATTACATCTACTGCTCCTGCTTACTCACAAAGCTTGTTACATAGTCAAAGAAGGACATTAGGTTGGTTTGACATGATTTGTTTTTGACAAATCCATGTTGACAGTTCCTGATCACCTTATTATCATCTAGGTGTTTACAAACTGACTGACTGACTATTTGGTCCATTATCTTTCTGGGTACCGGTTAAGATGACTGGTCTATAATTTTCTGGGTTGTCTCTATTCTCCTTTTTATAGATGTGTACTATATTTGCCCTTTTCCAGTTTGCTGGGATCTCCAGTACTCCACAAGCTCTCAAAGATAAACACTAATGGCTCTTCAGCCAGTTCCTTAAGTATTCAGGAAATATTTTGACAGGCCTTGCCAAATTGAAGACATCTAACTCGTCTAAGTAATTCTTAACTTATTCTTTCCCTATTTTAGTTTAAGATTATAGATTAAGCTTGGATTAGCAGTAATCATTCTGCAACTCCCTGCAGAATTCCAACACCAGCTAAGGATTGTCTATAAAAGGAAACTGCACAGCTATAGCAGAAGAAGATATTCTACTATAGCTATTCCTGAATAGCTAATTGTATGAACGCTATTCTGGAACAAAAGTAACTTTACTCTGCAATAAAGATTTGTTTATTCCAGAATAAAGTGTTGACATGGGAAGCTATTCTGGAATAGCCATAGCTGAATAGATTATAGCTATGCCGTCAATTTCCCAGTGTAGACAAGCTCCAATATGATGGGAAGAAAGAATCATGTTATCCTGTTCCTGACCTCGCATTATAAATGCACCCCATAATTTAATCATCCAGCCTTCCAACAGGGGCAGGCTTAATTTTACTCATCAAATTAAACAAGCATTCCTGTGTTACGCCTTCCTATAGCTTATAGACAGGAATTTTACAAGAAAAAAAAAATGTGGGGAGGTAGATGTGGAGACACCGTCTTTGTGCAGTGCTTGCGACATAGGAATGAATCTCACACACCCACTCATACTTGCAGTACAGTTTATGCACTAGGACACCAGCTCCCACAAAGAGTCATTTTAAAGCACACCCATAACAGAAACAAGTGAATGGGGAAGAGCATCCAACACTCCCACATACCAACGTTTTCATTGGATATGAATACTGTAGTTAAAAATGGCCATTGAAACCCAAATATGCCCCACACAGCAGCTGAATCTTGACACCACCAACCATACTCCTGAAGAAAAATACAACAAAAAACACTTCTGTAGTTCTCACAATGTTTTCAAGAATAATATTCCTGAGAGGATTTTACAAAGGAACAAACCACTTTATTGGGTAATGAAATGTTGTTAAGTTGAGGCTTCTGATAAATGCGCAAACAGTTTATTACCTGGAGAGTTATCCCCAGAAGTTTACAAACCAAAGGCTGAATCTGAGAAAATATAGCTATATATTAATGCATTTTCAGTACCATGCTATTCTGCCCATCTTATTTACTTGTACTACGTCAGATGTAAAAAGAACCTCATTTAATGGTTTACATGGCATTGTAAAATATAGTGTCTTGCTTCTTTATCAGGGTTTGAAAGTCTGTGCTGTCCACTGACATCCTTTGGTGGCAGGGTTGGAGAGAGAATTTAAAATAAAGTAATTTGAGGCTAAGAAGTGAAAAATTGTTCCAAGGAATAACCTGAGTGAAAAAACTTTGATGTGATGTGATATGAAGGGCCAAATTCTGCCTTAATACACACCCCAGGCAACCTCACTGATGTCAGAGGGGTTGCCCAAGGTGCAAGCACTTGCAGGATTTAATGTAGTATAAATAAGGATTTCACTACTGTTTGTGAGATATCACCCGCCTCTTTATAACAATCTTTTACGTACTTTATGTAAAAGTAATGTACTTTTACGTTATCATGTAGTCCCCCCCTCAGCCTTCCCTCCTCCAGAATAAACAAACCCACTTTTTTCAATCTTTCCTCGTAGGTCATGTTTTCTACACCTTTAATCATTTTGGCTGCTCTCCTCTGGGCTTTCTCCAGTTTACCCACATCTTTCCCAAACTGGTTTCTCTGGGCTGTAGCTGACATGAAATCCTTGTTATTTAAGTTTACAATAAAGGCGGCTAAGAAGGTAATTGCTGCTGTGTATCATAAAATAACATTTCATAGGACAGGGTTTTGCACCTCTGATTAGCTGTTACGATGAGAAAAGTAAAAGGAAATTTTCTATCTCCTGTAGCTAACTACCAAAGAAAACATTTTCATAAAATTCTGTACAAAATCAACTTCCTAGACAGCATGGGAAAAAAATTAGTCTGTCTTTTGATATGTTTTTCGCTCTGATTATGAGAGAAAATAATGTGTTTTTTTCCCCTTCATCTGAAATCAGATCTATCACTTGAACATCTTTCAGAAGCATGGTTAAAAGAGGTTTACTATTCAAAAACTCTTATTCATAGTTGATGCATTATGGAACTTCTATGAATAAATTCCACAAAAAAGGAAAAAAAATTCACTCACAATTTGTGAGTAGCATGGATACTTGCATTTCATGTAGCCCCTCAGAGTATTATGGTACACTACCATATTTTATCTTTGTACAAAACATTCAACAACCTCCTTTCACATATTGAAATCAGATTTAAAGGGAGAGTGTAAAGTATGGAGATTACAGTTTATTAAATGGAGAGCAAGGATGACATCATACTGAAAGTTTCCCCTGTCAAAAAAGTTAATTTTAAAGTCATGATAGTGGTTACTTTGGAATTCTGCATAATTATCATTTTCGTCCTCAAACACAGCTGAGCTAAGCTTTCAGGTATTCATTTAAAAGATTACATTCTTGTTCCCGCGTTCACTTCATTTTTCAACAAAATAATAGGACTAGGAGTGACCAGATGTCCTGATTTTATAAGGAAAATCCCGATTTTTGGGTCTTTTTTTTTATATAGGCGCCTATTACCCCCCACCCCCATCCTGATTTTTCACACTTGCTGTCTGGTCACACTAAACAGGACCTCTAGCAGTAAACATGCACTCTATAGATCATGTCAATATACCATGAAAAATGGTGCTGCTGTTGCTGTTAAGATACGATTCAACCAACGGCGCTTGTTCCTCTGAATGTTTCATTCTTCGTGTTCTTGTGCGGCTGTCTACATTGGACTGAACCATTAGTGGCTCCTGGCGTTTTTTTTTCTGCTTCTGTTCTAGCAATGCTCGCTGGGGGAAATACAAAGAAAAGTACTTTACTATTAGAATAAATGCCACTTTTCTAGGGGAGTCTGTGTGCACATAGCTTCTGTTCTGCAAACTTTGCTTAACTGAATGTTAATTGAACGTCATACTGTAGAATTTCCAGTAAATCACAACAGATATCCTTACATCTTCTGCAATGGCAGTCCACCTTGTATGCTATTTTCAAGTGCCAAGAACACAGTCTAATAGGACATTGGGATGCCAGGCCATAGAAAACCTTTCTAAAACTCTACTGAAAGTACCAAACAGGTCAAATAGATATTTCTGAGCAGTCTACTGGCTGTCAGAGCTGGATAAAAAACAGCATCTTTTGGGAAGCCAACAATGTGAGAGAACTGTAAATTAATATGATAACCAAGAGCATGAGGCATGAAAACACTGATTTATGTTTATGTAAATCAAGAAAAGATCATCTGTAAACTAGAATCAAGTGACAAGACTGGACACAAGCCCAGTGTAACAATGATACATGCTGAATTTTAATTACACACCCTATTTTCAATTTCAATTCTCATTTACACCAGGTGAAAAGCAGATATTAACTGCTAGAAGGCAGAGGATTGTCTTTACAATTGCATAAGTCTCCCTCTAGATGTTTCTAAGTTTAGAATGTGATGGAAGCTGTGATAAATGAGGGGAGGTAGCTCCCTTTTATGGACACCCAGCCAGTCAGTAGCTACAGAATCCTCCTTAGCAGCTGTACCCTAATTGCCTTAACTGTAAAGGGTTAAGAGAAGCTTAACCTGAGTTGGCACCTAACCAGGGGAACCAATGGGGGGGGCTGTACCCTTTCAAATTGGAAAAACTGCTGGGTGTGTGTGGGGGGGGGGGGGCTCTTTGTCTCTCGGGCTGGAGAGAGGGGAAGGCAGCAACAAGCTGTAAGCTTTAAGCCAGGTATGGGAAATCATCAGCATCATACCTATCACACCTATATCTGTTAGTCTTTAAGGTGCCACCAGACTCCTTGTTGTTTTTGTAGCATCATACCTAGAAACTCCTCATTTGGAACCCCAGATATGTAAGTTGCCCAGGAAAAGTTAAGACAGATGCGATTAGGAACCTTTTTGGTCGTTTTGGTTTGTGGATTCCTCTGTGCTAACCCCCTGTGCTTTTGTTTTGCTTGTTACCATTAAGCTGAACCCCAATAAAGTTATTTTTGGTGTTTAATCCCTAAAGCCTGAGTTTTCAAATGTGTTTCTTTTTTTAAATAAAATTTACCTTTTTTTAAAAAAAAATCCTTTGATTCCAAAGTCCTTAGACAAGGGATTGGTCTGTGCTCACATTGCTAAGGCAACTGGTTGGTATTTTATTCTCAAGCCTCCCCAGGAAAGAGGGTGAAGAAGCTTGGGGGGATATTTTGCAGGGATAGGGATGCCAAGGGAACCTTCCCTGAATATTTGTGAAAATCACTTGGCGATGGCAGCAATATCTGTCCAAGGCAGAAGACTGTGCCTTGGAAGAATTTTAACCTAAGATAAAGGTAGAAGATAAGCTTAGGGGGTCTTTCATGCAGGTCCCCACATCTGTATCCCAGAGTTCAGATTGGGGGGGGGGTAATACCCTGACAGAAGCCAATGTATATTTATGAGGTACCATTCTATCACAGCCACAAGAAACTATAGGGGTTAAGAAGGTTTAATTGTAATAACCCAGTGTCTTATTTGTCCCCTTCCTCTGTATTATGCTGTTTTTACATGGGTTGTCTTTTGACTTCTCTCCATGTAGAGAGAAAAAGAAAATACAATGCTGTTATAAATAGCAAAAGAGCTGGGTTGAAGTAGAGGAATATCCAGAGAGGATCAGTTTCTGACAGCCTTCCCTCATGTTGAGTACTAATTTACTCCATGAATGATGCGCTGCTACTCAACGTGAATTAGAAGTCAGAATCTGACTCAGATGCAACATGAGAGACAAGGTGGGTGAGGTAATATCTTTCATTGGACCAACTTCTGTTGGAAAAAGAGACAAGCTTTCAAGCTACACAGAGCTTTTCTTTGGGTCTGGGAAAGGTACTCAGTGTCACAGCTAAATACAAGGTAGAACGGATTGTTTAGCATAAGTAGTTAACACATATTCTAAGGAACTATTCGAGGTGAAGTGGCCTATTAATACCTCTGGAGTTATAGGAAAAAGAGGAGGGCTAGTGGGTTACTGATTGTTGTAAGGTTTCAGAGTAGCTGAAACCTTACAACTTGTATGGTTTATTACAACTGATTGTTGTAATAAACCATAAATCTTTATTAAGACCAGGATTTTTAGTGCCTAGCAAAGATATGAATTTAAGTTCCCAGAGGTGTTAACAGGCCACTTCACCTTCAATTGTCCCTTAGAATGTGTGTTAACTACTTATGCTAAACAATCTGATCCACCTTATATTTAGCTGTGACACTCTGAGTACCTTTCCCAAGCCTGAAGAAGAGCTCTGTGTAGCTCGGAAGCTTGTCTCTTTCGCCAACAGAAGTTGGTCCAATAAAAGATAACACCTCATCCATCTTGTCTCTCTAATATCCTGGGAACAGCATGGCTATAACAACATTGCAATCAGAGGCAAGATGGCATAGATATAAAGTATTTGATATTGAAAATGGGGCACAGATTGAAATACCCTAACCTGATGGGTGTGGAGTGGACATTACAATGGAAGCAAAGGTACATAAAAGCATGTTGAAAGAGAGCCAGAGGTTCTTCGAAAGGGGGCCAAAGGGAAATTAAAGACAAGGGGTGAAACCCTAACTCCACCAAAGTCAATGGTAAAATTCCCTTTGACCTTAGTGGTTATGTCTACACTGCAATTAAAACCCCACAGCTGGCCTGAGCCTCGGGCTCCCAGGGCTCAGGCTCAGGGGCTGTTTAATTGTGGTGTAGACATTCGGGCTCGGGCTGGAACCTGGGATCTACGACCCTGCAAAGTGGAAGGGTCCAAGAGCATGGGTTGCAGCCCGAGCCTGAATGTCTACACCACAATTAAACCGCTCCAGAGCCTGAGCCCTGGGAGCCTGAGTTACCTGGCACGGGCCAGCCGCAGTGGGTACATACCCAGTGGGGACAAGATTTCACTCAAGGTCTTCAGAATGAGTGTTTATGTAGGCCATTTAAGAATGTGGTAGAAAGAAACAACACAGCACATGACTTTATGACTGGTCTACACTGGGGGGGGGGGAAATCGATCCAACTTACGCAACTTCAGCTACGTGAATAATGTAGCTGAAGTCGACATACTTAGACCTACTGACCGCAGTGTCTTCACTGCAGTGAGTCGACTGCTGCTGTTCCCCACCCACCCCCGTCAACTGCCTGCATCTCTCACGGCGGTGGAGTACAGTAACTCCTCACTTAAAGTCGTCCCGGTTAACGTTGTTTCGTTGTTGATCAATTAGGGAACACACTGGTTTAAAGTTGTGCAATGCTCCCTTATAACGTCATTTGGCAGCCGCCTGCTTTGTCTGCTGCTTGCAGGAAGAGCAGCCCGTTGCAGCTAGCTGGTGGGGGCTTGTAACCAGGGTGGACCGGCAGCCCCCCTATCAGCTCTCTGTTCCCCTAAGTTCCCTGTGCAGTAGCTGCCCAGCAGGCTACCAATTGCCGGCAGTTCAGCTGTCCCTCCCCCTACTGCCATGTGCTGCTCCTGCCCTCTGCCTTGGAGCTGCTCCCCGAGCCTCCTGCTTGCTGTGCGGGTGGGAGGGGGGAGGAGAAGAAGGGGGCTAATGTCAAGGTGTCTCCCTCCTGTGGAAGCAGAGAAAGAACTGACAGGAAGGGGATTGCAATGCATGACAGTTCTTTCTCTGCTTCCACACTCCCCACTGCGCCTGTACCCTGCTTACCCCAATCTCCATAGAGCAGGGGGGACACACGACAGTGCTCAGGATGGAGGGAGCTTCCTGGCAGCAGCTGCATCTCAGTTTGCTGATTAACTTAACAAGGCAGTGTATTCAGCATACTTAAAGGGAAAATGCGCATCTCTCTCACACTCTCTCTCACACACACACGATGTGTGTCTCTGTCTGCCATGCTGTCTCCCCTCCCTCCATTCCTGATGCCTTGTAGAATGTGAGGCTACATTAACAACAATGAAAAAGTTAACCCTTGAGGGCTCAGCCAATTGCTAGTTCATCATTTAGCAGTAAGGCATTCCCTGGGAAATATCCCATCCTCTGATTTCATCACTTCAACCAAGCTTCACAATTATCATTGCTGTGTACAATATTGAATTGTTTTATATATATAAATAAATAAATAACAGAGAGAGTGTATACATATATAGTCTTTTGTCTGGCAAAAATAAAAAATTTCCCTGGAATCTAACGCCCCCTATTTACATTAATTCTTATGGGGAAATTGGATTCGCTTAACATCGTTTCGCTTAAAGTCACATTTTTCAGGAACATAACTACAACGTTAAGTGAGGAGTTACTGTACAGGAGTCGACAGGAGAGAGCTCGGGGGTCTAGTTATCGCATCTAGACTAGATGCAATAAATTGACCGCCACTGATCTGGCGGGTAGTATAGACATACCCCGAGAGTATTAAATCCTATCTGGTTGGGAATAAGGAGGAAAAATTCTGAAAACTGTGTGTTAATTCTCAGCTGGTTGACACTCTTGCTAGTACCCTTGTGCTTTTCTTTTTTGTTTTTTCATGGTCTGCAAAAGGAATAATGCATTCTAAGTCAACAAAAATGAAAACCACTCAAATCACAATAATAAGAAAAAGTCAACACTAATAGTAATCTTCACAATCCTTTCCTTTCCATCACTTAAGCATGTATAGCACACTCCAAAGGCCAGGGAACTAATATTTCAAGATGTAATTTTCTGGTAGGATACCTCGATCAGCTGTGTGTGTCAATGAAAGGAGGTCTCCATATTCCACAGTAATCCAATTAAGCAAGCCCTAACTTGTCAAAAGGAAATAGGCCGAAAGCAGACTCCAAGATCTCACCTGTCTGTCAAGCTTTTGTTGACGCAGATTGCTACCTTCATCATCTAAAACACTGAAAAGACAAAGAGAATTCATTAGAAAGTATTTGTCAGTCAACAGAACACCAAGTTGCAATTACTGGAGCCATATCTTGCAGGACTTATTCATGCAAAACTCCGATAGCAGTCCATGGAAGTTTTGCCTAACTAACCTTGCACAAGCTGTCCCAAGAGAATTAAAAGCAACCCATGAAATATAAATAAAGTTCTGTGTATAATGTCTACATGCTACAAAGTTTAGATTCAGACAGATCATAAAGGAACACAAATCCAGAGTGTTTCACAAGAGTTTTATGCCTGCAGTACAAACGCTTTGTTCTCGATTACCTTATAATAAAGATATTGAAATGTACAGCAGTGGGATGAGAGTGTAAATTTCTATATAAAGCACATACAATGGTAAGGAGTTTGAGGAGCAGTTTAGCAAATCATTAGTATTTTAAATTGGCTTGAGAAAATGAATGGTATAAGCTTCTCCAGGTTGAGAACCAGAACTGTTTCTTTCCTGAAAATCTGAAGAATTATACTTACAAAGGGATTCTGATTTACTGTCTGCACTCAAAAAGTCAGAGATCTGCAATCCAAATTGTATTGTGTACTACCAATTATCATCATTTTCTCTCTGCTTCTAGGTGATTGTTCATTGTTGCTGGTTGGGGGATTAGTTCATGCCAGATTCAGTCATTTTCATTAATTAGACGTTGGATGGAAATAAAGGAGAAACTTTCTTTGCATTACATTTGATAAAACTGCTAAATCCACCTTATTTGGGGGGGGGGGGAGTGCGGGATGACAAGTTCTACATGCTGTAACATTATGACTAAAAATTTAAAGTTGATAAATAAATTCATAGATTTAATTAAATAGATGAATATAGACTTCCAAAAAATACAAATATAACATGCTTTAAAATTGACTATATTAATTTGACTTCCACTTATAACACAAAAATGTGCATCCCATACTGTAGGCACCCTTGACAATTACAAGTACAACACAAGAGAGTCAAAAACTGGTTTCTGCCCTTATGTGCATTTTAAAATAATTGGAAAGTGACATAATATTAGTTCAGCATACTCTACATTTCTTAACTAGGTTGCAGGCAGCATGGTATAGAGAGTTAAGTGGGAGACTTGAATATAGGAACAACCTTTGGGCTCTCACCCTCCAGAGAACAAAGAAATAAAGATGTGCGATGAAGCATGTAGCGTAACATTGGCCTTTTAGAAGATCTGCAGCAGGCATCCTTACATATACCTTATAAAAGGCTGATGTTACAAGATGCACAGTTAAGCAAGTTTCATATTAAGAAATGGAATGGTGCCTTAGAAGAATTACAGATATAAAAGTTTGTGGGTCCTTTGGGGAGATAATGCTAGCTGTGTTATATTTAGTATACCACCTACCAGCAACCCCTGCAGCATTCCAGGCAATGAAGAGATAAAGGGTTAGAATTTCAAAGCTCGTACCCACATTAGAGGCATAAAAAATGGCCTCTGAAAAGTCTCTCCTCATCTCTGCAACCAGCTGTGCTACCAGTAAGATTTCCTCAAATGAAAAGTCTAAAGGCGAGACAGGGGCACTGATCTGGCCCTGAAGCATCTAAGTGAACTTTACAACACATGCAAATTTTGAGTGGGCGTCTGCTGGGGACAGCTGTTCTGAGAATATCTGGGAAGATTCAGTCACGACTGCTGTTAAAACAATCCTGTTTGAAACTTTTGCTCATAGGCACTGACCCCAAGGGTATTCCAGGGCTAGAGCACCCATGGAAAAAAATTAGTAGGTGCTTAGCACCCACTAGCAGCCAAGCTTCCCTCTCTTCCCCGCAGCACCTCCCATCTGCCAGTGGCCCCGCTGAACAACTCCTCCCCTTCCCTCACAGTGCCTCCCACCTGCGGCGATCAGCTGTTCTGTAGCATGCAGGAGGTGCTGGAGGGAGAGGGCGGAACTGGGTGGGAAGAGGCGGGGCAGGGGTTGAGCAGGAATGGGATGAGGTGGGGGGGGCTTGGAAGAAGAGGCGGAGTTGGGCAGGGGCAGGGGCGTGCCTGGGGTGGAGCAGGGGGCTTGAGCACCCCTGGGGCCCTGAGGCAATTGGCGCTTGTGCTTTTACTGCCTCGTTCCACAAAAGACAACATCCCGAGGGACAGTGAATATTGTGGGTGCGAGAAAAGATACATTTGTTTTTGTTACTTTAGTGAAAATTGTACTAGACCCATAGGAAATGTGTCTCACTCTGAGAAAACATGGCACCATACAGATTCATTTTGTGAATCTGTGAGACTGAACAAGTGTTTCAGACATACCAGTTTGATAAATTACACTGCCGGTGTGAGAGAGGCTAAAAGAGGTGGGCATGTCAAACACGTCATAGTTATGTGTCATCTGTCAAATTCTAAAATAGCCTTAGGATCCCTGGCAAGAGGACCCTTCCTAATCACCAAACACCATAGAAGCATTATTTACTTAGCTATGCCAACTATTTATATCAGTTTCCTATTCTTATTTATTAAACACTGACAGCACAACCAATGTGGGACAAGTTACAGAAGATAACTGAGTGAGATTCTGTGCAGTGCCTCTAAAAAGCACAGTACAAAACTTGCAGCCCTGGAAATGAAAGGGGAAAGGTGCCATCAAGCCACATGGCCTCTCAATTCATGGTAACTGCCCAGAATCCCATCAACACAAAGTACTATAGCACAACACCCTCCTAGTCTTCTCATATGCCCCTACCATGCACACCCAACCCCTTCCAGGGCTTGCACTTGAGAGCCTACAGCTGTCCCATACAACTCATTTGTTGGGTAAAATTCTCCCCTGGCTGGCCACAGGGCTTTTACAGCCCCTGTACATTGCACAGGCGTGTACAGTGGCCATAGCAGGGGTGAAAATCTCACCCATATCCCTGTCCCAGGGAGCTTATGGTCTTGATGCTGTTCTCAAAAGAACCAAGCAATGTATTTATTTTCCAAAAGACACAGTGCACCAACAGCAAAGTTTGCTAGAGATTTTCAACAAAGTACCTACAACAAATAATAATTTGTACTTAGCATCTTTCTTTTGAGAAACTCAAAGCACATTATGAAAGGTACATAAATAATATCCTCATGAGATTGTCTGCATTCTCCTGAATATTTATTTTTCCTATAATACACGAAACATGTCCCCAAAATATATTTTTGGACAAATGATTTTAGTGAAATGTGAGTATCAATCAATCCTAGTGCATCAACTAAAAATCCCCTCTTGAGATTTAAACTAAGTGCTTAAAAACTTAGATAACAGTCCAGAGTTTTAGAACTGCACAGGCAAAAATGCACCTGGAGAGGCCCAGAGAGGGCAAGTGACTTGCACAGTCACGTCATTTGCAGATTTGGAAATAGAACTCTGTTTTCATGTCATCTCCTGCATTATACGTTAGACCATTCTGCCTCTCTCAGATGATACAGCAAATGAGCTATAGACTTCATCATACACATTCCCATATAAACAAATTAATGATTATTGCAAACCATTATATTCCAGTAATATCCTGGTTTGTCTGTGATGCTAAGTATTGTACCATGGATATGGTGGCTAAACACTTAGGATCTAACTTCAGATTTTCTACAGCACACTTTATCATAATATCCAAGCGGGGCCCAGTGGTCAGAACAGAGGAGTAGATGGCTGGCCTCTTCAATTCCATTTTCAACTTTAGCTATGATTCATTGGGCTAAACAGGCTAACTCCAGACTTTGTGTAAACAAGAGCAACTCCTACAGAAGTCTGGGCCAAAACCTACAGTGTTAAAAATGGTGATTTAAATTACACAGTATGTAGGAACTGGTCAGAAAATGGATGTAATTGTCACTGATTTAGCATGCAATGGATTCAAAGCGACTGCCTTACATGCTGAATGGGGCCCAAAGTAATGAATCTCCAGCCAGGTGTTGTGACTATTGTACTTTTTAAGACACTGCTTCATACCTTCTTCCTGTTGAATGAGATTATTTTTAGAATCTCCAAGTATATGCAGCCACAGCTGGGACGGAGAGCTGCTTGCCAACAACTTACGAAGCTCTTTTGCTTCTTCCATAGACCCTTCTCTGTGGCCTGATGGCTATTTTCTAAATTTCTGGGCTGTTTTCCACATTCCTTGTATAAAGAAGTGTAAACTGCAAACCTTGTCCCTCGGGTTGTTTAAGCTTCAAACTGTCTCATTTAAATTGAACACTAGTCATCTTCTGTGAAATCGAGTCCTGTTGGAATGTGAACATGCCAGCCTCCTCTTGGCTCCTGAGTTCACTCTCTGTGAAATGTGGACTGGAATACATCCTTCCCACCCTCCTTCAAAGGGGCAATGTGAAGCTTAATGTTTATAAAGAGTTTTGGAGAGCCAAATATGCAGGCATTAGAAAAATATTATTACTGTCCAAAGAATTCCTACAGCTCATTTTCAGACAATCCTCTATGCTACAGGACATCACTTAGGCTTTGCCTGGGCTAGGATTTAAAAATGTGATGTTAGAATGCATTAGCCAACAAGTTCTAATTAACAAGGTGGCACTAGACTTTTCAAACATGGCAATGAATATGTTAAAATGTGCTAAGATGGTCAAATTAATGTCTATATTTTATCTCAACCAGTTTAGCATGTATGAAAGGCAGGGTACCTTTTCTGCACTGGACTGTTCAGATGCGTTAGAACATGTTAGCCAACACATTCTATATCACACCTTCAAATCCTTCCTAGTCTAGACACAGGGGTTTTATTCTTGAGTAAGTACAGAATACCAACAACAGTGTCTGTGGGTGCATTCTGCCCTTGCTTAATGTCTGCGTATCTCCCAGTGAAGTCAATGATGAAAATGAGGGTAGAATTTAGCCTTCAGTGTTTTACTGTTATATTAGTAGGTCACCCTCAGCAGGAAATATAGTATCCCATTATTATTTTCTAAGGGACAGCATTTACCCCTGGAGCAAATGGCTAATGACCGCTATTTCACATTCCCGAACGCCCCTCAGGAGA